ATATATTCATATATATATTCATATTTTTGCATTTATTTATTTACTTGTTTCATTTGTTTATTTATTATTATTACTTATTTACTTGATTTCATTTATTTAAAAATATTCTAATTTTTGCATTTATTTTTTGCATTATTTATTTTTACTTATTTTCTTACATATTGTTAGGCATTTAATTACTTTATTATTTATTCATGCATTTTAATTATTTATATATTTCATTAAAAAAAAAAATTCAATTATATATTCATACTTATTTTACTTATTTATTTATTTAAATTTGTGTGCGTAGAGGTGGCCACTGGGGATCTACTGGACCTTGAAATTGGAGTAAAAGATCACTCAGGAAAAGACACCACACACCCAGCACAGAACCTCAGCACAGAGAACAACAACACTGTCTGGGTAAGAACACACACACAAACACACAAATGCTTTAGACATGTACTACTCCACCAGTTTATTTGAATAATTACTTAATACTAATCAGAGTTAATTGAAGTTATTTTAATGCTGTTTATGTCAGCAATTCTGAGAAAACCACTCACTAGTCTTATTTTTATTTTAATTGTTAAAATGACAGCAATGTTTATTTAACTCAGTCTACATGCAATGCTTTACATTTTTATTTTTTAATTATTTTATATTAAAATGTAACTTTTAAATAAGAGTTTAAAAGCACATTAGTTACTGCTGAGAACCCTATGGACTCCAAATGAAGATGCTTCTTTTAACTTACTGTAATCTCTGCGGTGTCTTTTGCAGGAACTTGAGGATGGTCTAGATGAGGCTTTCTCAAGGTTAGTAAAATTATATTTGGAGTTATATCTGGTGTAACTATAACACCCTGCGCAGTGAACTTTAACAGGTCATACTATAACTTCAGCGTGGATGTGGAGTATAGGGCACGACTATTCCTGACGCTCTATTATGTGACCAAAGCGGTATTTGTGATGGACATATTCGCCTCTAAGAATAAACTCTTTGATTGGTCTTACATAATTCAGACTATTTTTGCACCCCACTCACAGTTTCTGTTTCATAGAAAAGAAAAAGACATCTGGGGTAGACCAAGAAATCTGTGTAACAATTTGTCAAACTGTTTCCTAACAGGCTTTCACTGGTTGATGTCTGAATGCGGTCAAAGTGCTGCTCCTGAAAACTAAAATGCCACATTTAAAGGCTTGAGTTTCAGAAATTGTGGGGGAGAAATTAACAACAGCACTTTGCTGAGGTTATTTGCAAGATTCTGTATCAATCTTTCTTTCTGGACCCTTGACCTTGATGTAAGATAATGCAGAATGAGATACCATATTGCACCCTCAGCCTAATTCAGGGAGGCCGTTCTCAACCTTTTAAGATTGCATCACATTTGAGAATTAAGAATGATAAACAGTCTACGACTGTAATGCAATCCAATTTGTGATTATATATTTTTTTAATTTACCAATGTTTATTTATAGACATCTAACCTTGCCAGGGATAAAGCAGAATGAGATACTATTTTGCACCTTTGGCCCAATTCAGGGAGGCCTTCCTCAGCCGTATTCAAAGCTTCATCAAATTTGACAATTAACAATGAAAGACAGTCTAAGACTGTAAAGAAATCTGACTTTTGAACATTTTTTACTGTATCAGTCTTTTTTTATGAACCCTTAAACTTTACATATGGCACAATACAGAATGAGCCATCATACTGCACCCTCTGCCTAATTTGTAACAGTGTTTCTCTGCCGATTTCAAGACTGCATTAGATCTGACAATGTGGTGTGATAAATAACCCAAGGCTCTATCAAATTCCAAAGTTAGAACATTTTTACTGTATCAATCTTTATTTATGAACCCTTAAACTTGACATCGGGATAATGCAGAATAAGATATTTTATTGCACCCTCCGCCCAATTCGGGGAGGCATTTCTCAGCCATCTTCAATGTTGCTTGAAATTTGACAGTTAACAGTGATAAACAGTCTCAGACTGTTAAGAAATCCAAATTTGTAAAAAATGTTAACGTATCAATCTTTTTATGAACCCTTGAAAGTTTCATATGAGACAGTACAGAATGAGCCGCCATATTGCACCCTCTGCCAAATTTGTAGCGGTGTTTCTCTGCTACTTTCAAGGTTGCATTAGATCTGACAATGAGACTTGATAAATGGTCTAATGCGCTAACAATATCCAAAGTTAAAACTTTTTTTTTTTTTACTTTACCAACCTTTTTTATGGACCATTGAATTTTACATATGGCTCTATATAGAATGAGACATATTGCACCTTCTGCCCAGTTCAGGGTGGGCTTTCTTTTTACTGTATCAGTCTTTATTTATGAACCCTTAAACTTGACATCGGGATAATGCAGAATAAGATATTTTATTGCACCCTCCGCCCAATTCGGGGAGGCAATTCTCAGCCATCTTCAATGTTGCTTGAAATTTGACAGTTAACAGTGATAAACAGTCTCAGACTGTTAAGAAATCCAAATTTGTAAAAAAATGTTAACGTATCAATCTTTTTATGAACCCTTGAAAGTTTCATATGAGACAGTACAGAATGAGCCGCCATATTGCACCCTCTGCCAAATTTGTAGCGGTGTTTCTCTGCTACTTTCAAGGTTGCATTAGATCTGACAATGAGACTTGATAAATGGTCTAATGCGCTAACAATATCCAAAGTTAAAACTTTTTTTTTTTTTACTTTACCAACCTTTTTTATGGACCATTGAATTTTACATATGGCTCTATATAGAATGAGACATATTGCACCTTCTGCCCAGTTCAGGGTGGGCTTTCTCAGCCATGTTTAAGGGTGCATTAAATATGATAATTTCAAATGATATACAGTCTAGGCCTCTAACAACACCCAAAGTTTAAACAATTTTCAATATACCAATAATATTTTATGGACCTTTGAAATTGACATATGCTTTGATAACACCATAGAATACAAGTCGTTTGTCTCTACACATTAACCACTTGAGCTATGAACACACAGTAAATGACACACACAGAAAAAACAGTAAGAGCAGCAGGATACAGTACGTTTTCTTTTTTGAATACATATAGTAACTAAATAACTATATACTCTGAAAATAATGTACAATTTAAAGGATCTTTTTCTTTATATTGAGTCAAGAGGTCAATCTGACATTTACATCTTCTACTGGATAAACTTGAAGTTCGGTGCAACCAGCCATTTCATTTTATTTGTGCATCCGTCTCACAATAATGCACAGAAATGGTCAATTATGACCATAATATCTCTCAACCTAAACCCTCTGTTTTTGAGGATAAACCATCTCAAATGCTAAACAGCTTCAGTTTGTGATGGAAAGCTCTTCAATGGTCTTTAATCAGAGATTTAGTCAATCCCAATTCATCCTTGATTGGAAAAGTTCTTGCATGTCAGAGATCTAGAGCGTCTCTCCTCACACTTACAAGGTGAAAGCATGTTAAATGGAGATTAACGAAGTACTGCTTTGATTAAAAGCCAACGCTTTTAATTACTGCACACGACAAATAATCAGTGTGAAGCGGAGATGGACTGAACCCCCGCTGCTGTAAAACAGCTCATCTCATGCCTGCTAATCTCTCGGGAACGGCACTCCGTGTGTCTGGATGAATAATGGCCATCATTACAAATCGTTAAACAGCTGTTGTTTGGTTTGCAGAATAAATCGGCTGTTAATTAGTGCCATTACGATGCCATAGTATGCAAATAATAGTCATTTAAAACATGACCTAATCACTCGGCATCGCAATTGTTTGATTTTTGGGTGTATAGGCAAGCAGGAACGTGCATACTGTATTATCCCCAAAAAAATATTATCTTAAAGAGCTCATATTATGAGGGGTCCAATTTTCTTTAATATTTTTAAATTAATGCTAAAGTGTGTAATTTTCAAATGTTAAAATATATTGTCTTAAGTTATATGCAGTATTATTTTTGTACTATTTATAGTATTTATTAATATTTTGAATTTGCTTTAATTCTTATATTTTCTGTTATTTTTATTTTAGTTTGTTTTGTAATTTTGCACTTTTGTCAGTTTGAAAAAATTATTTCTGTTTGGCTTTGTTTTTTTTTATTATTTTGTTTTTTTATTTAGTAATTTTAATACTTGGCAACACTGCAAAAATTAATTGTCCAAGAAAATACCATACAAGTCTTTCTGCTTAAAATTTCACATTTAATTTGATGTGTTAGTTGCCATTTCTTTGTAGTTACTTGTCAAATTTACTAGCAATTTCTGAGTGAAAAATGTTCCTATGTAAATATTACACAATTTTTTAAATGAACTAAAATGTATTTAATCAGTTGCCAAGCCAACATTTCTTGTCTTCATTTAAGTTTAGGTTTTTCATCTAATATATACATATATATATATATATATTTTAGTTGCAGTTTTAGTTACCAATAACAACACTGGTTGTATAAGTTGGGAATTTGTTCAGATCTTTAAAGTGTGTAGTAGTCATGCTTACCTTAGCAAACAACACTAATAATTCTTAATGCCTTTAGTCTTACAGAGAAATGGGTCTTACAGTGGTTTAGTCTTTATGGTCAAGAGGTCAACTTTAGTTAGCTGTAACTCTGACTTCATTTCCTCAACATTAGCCCAGCGGTAACCTTTGACTTCACTGGCTGCTCAATAAACCCCATCAGGACATTTTTAAAAAGCTGAAAAAACAATATCACAATGTGGAAGTTCTATTATTTCAACAGCGAATCAAGACATGCTGACTAAAGATGCAGCATGTTTTCTCATGCTGATATGGTTTACTTCCTTCAGCCGCAGTCTGGATAGTTTTGAGTCCAACACAGGTAACAATGTCGTTCACCTGAGCTGTAGTGACATGTGCCTGTGCTATAGTCCTCATCCGTCATAATTCACTAGAGGTAACCTTTGACTTCACTGGCTGCTCAATAAACCCCATCAGGACATTTTTAAAAAGCTGAAAGCTGATTTTAAAAAACAATATCACAATGTGGAAGTTCTATTATTTCAACAGCGAATCAAGACATGCTGACTAAAGATGCAGCATGTTTTCTCATGCTGATATGGTTTACTTCCTTCAGCCGCAGTCTGGATAGTTTTGAGTCCAACACAGGTAACAATGTCGTTCACCTGAGCTGTAGTGACATGTGCCTGTGCTATAGTCCTCATCCGTCATAATTCACTCCGTCACAACACCATGATCATCTACGACTGTAGTCCAGTTCTCCATCTGTAGCAGCTCACGCATGTTCCTCCTCACGGCTCAAAACCCTGTCCACTTCTCACACCTGTTCCATTTTGAGGACTTCATGGCAGGGTTCTTTGCCAAGAGTTGTAGAAACATTCTTCATATATTCCTAGTTCATCTTGTGATCAGTTGTCGGTTTCCCACCACTGCCTTGGCACAAAGTCTGTTACTATGAACCTTATTCTGGGTAGACGCTGTATTTAAAGGGATAGTTCAACCCAAAATGTAAATTCTGTCATACTCACCCTCAAGTTGTTCCAAACCTGTATGAGTTTCTTTCTTCTGTTGAGCACAAAAGAAGATATTTTGAAGAATGTTGAAACCAAACACTTAACAGTAGCCATTGACTTCCATACTATAGAAACAAATTTTATGGAAGTCTATGGCTACCATCAACTTACTGTCATTGTTTATCACCTTTTCAGCACAACTTACGCTATCTTTCAAAAGTTTGAGGTCTTGAAAATTATTATTATTTTTTTTTACAGTAATTCATACTTTTGTTTAGAAAGGATGCATTACATTGATCAGAAGTAACAGTAAAGACATTTATGATGTTACAAAAGATTTATATGCTGATATTTTGAACTTTTTATTTGTGAAGGATGCTGCAAACAATGGCTTACACAAAAATGTGAAGCTGCACAACTGTTTTCAATGTTGATGATAAATGTTTCTTGAGCAGCAAATCAGCATATTAGAATGATTTCTGAAGAATCATGTGACACTTGAGTAATGATGCTGAAAATTCAGCTTTACATCACAGGAATAAATTACCTTTTTAACTAGAAAACAGCCTAAATTGTAATAATATTTCAAAATATTACTGTTTTTACTGTACTTTTGATCAAATAAATGCAGCTCTTTTTTTCAGAAACATATGGCGTCTACCGTGACTAAAGTGCATTGAGGCTGTGTGGCAGTGTTACCGTAGATCTTCCCCGAGATGTTCCTGGTTTTTGTTATTTTCCACAGCACACTTTTCATTCCAGCTCCTCAGAGGTTTAATTTCACAACATGTGACATTCAACCACAGAGCTGCGCCTCTATATTTAGGGTAAAGAGTACTACCCTAGAACACTACTCGCTGGTTCATGCATATTTTGTGCAGCTTATAGTCTTCTGTGTTGGAATGGGACTCATGGGGAATGTTACAATTCCAATTCCACTGTATGATTCAGTTAACGTTTCTCTTTGAGAGGAAGCCGCTGTTCTAAAAGAATAATTATTGTATAAATATTGAAGAATTAACAAAACTCTGTTCTGAATGTGTGAATCTTAAACCACAAGTTGTCAGGATTAGACTAATTTAAACTGATGACTCAAAACATCAATGAGGTTTGTTTCTTTTTGAAAGATTCATTCAAAAGAATCCGACTGATCACTCTGTATGTGCAATGCAGAAAGACATACTGTCTTCTTTGTATTATTTCACAGTGTCCAGCCTTTATTTCTCATCACATTAAATTTATAATAATTAAATAACAAAAATAACCTCTTCGTGATTCCCAATCCTACATATGAAGCATTTATGCGCACACCATTTGTATGTTCTTTTGCTATTATTCATAATGCTATTATACTATTTCATAATGTTCTGAATTATTAATTGAGCTATTAATTTTATATTTTCTCATTTATATATATATATATATATATATATATATATATATATATATATATATATATATATATATATATATATATATATAT